CACCCTTGCTGGGAATCACTTGAGATATCGTCTTTCTCCGTAAATAGCATGTCTTCGGGGGTATGTATGGAAGTTTCGTCGCGCGAGGCCCATGATAAAAAGAGCGGGACTATTTGGCGAGACCTTTTTTCAGAAATTTTAGGAACCGCATTAAGAACCCTGAGCGCCTGGCTCCTGGCATTTTTTGCTGATAGAGGTTGTGGAGAATGTGACGATCTAAAATCATTTAATAACGATGAACTGGCATCCTCATTTGTACGGAATGAGCTATGCATGGCCTTCTGGACATTGTTAACATTATAACACCCGTATTCAGATGTCGTGGATGAGAGATTCGCCGCTGAATCCGGAGAGTTATGCCTTGGGGTATCTTCAGTAGGTGTACTGTGGAGCCAGTTCATCGCAATTTCGGAAACAACACGTTCACCAGCATCAGTTTCACATATTACCTTCATAGCCTCACATGCATCATCCCATACAGAAGCAAGCCTTTTCCATAGCAAACCAAAACAGAAACTAGGAACCAGTCGAGCAAGCCATCTCTTGCGGGACGATTGAGCATAGTTAACTCCGAGCCGACGTACATCCATGGATATGACCCTGGCTGCTTGGAGAGTAAGCTCGCTCGTTTCAATGCTTCGTGCGAGTGGTAAACAAGGATCCTCTATCTTTAGCCACGTAAAGATGAGCTGAAATATGTCCAAGGATAGTAGCCTGAGTCTATGCGAGGGACTTGACAGATTTGCAAGTAGAGCATTTGCAAATTGGTCGAGATCGACGTCAGAAACCTCTGAAGGTTCACGAATAAGTGACACATACGTGGATACAGCTTCTAAAAAGACAGGAATCCTCGAGTATTGGCTGGCCTTGGAACATAGCAAAGGCCATAGTGTATTATCTAGCTGGCCCAACCCGTGGGAGAAACGAACGTAGGCCAACAGCCCCTGACCAAGAGAAAACATAGCCTCGGCATTGTCTGGTGAACCAGACTCTAGAGTCAGTCGAATTTTTCGGTGCAAGCTACCAACTAAGTCGGGAATAATAGAAGGTTCGGCGGAGAAGCTGATAGCGTCCGGAAGTCTTGAATACACGCTAAGAAGAGCTATTTCCCCTTCGTCAGGACTAGACGAGTTGAATCTTCCGGATATAAGAGTTTTCCACTGATTTGGACAGGTCAATGAGCCGGGCCTAGAGGAATTCGAGGTAACCGTGCCAGATGACTGAAGACGGGTTAAAAGTACACATAGCCCTTCCTCATATTCTTTCCATAAAGCAACTATAAACCTGAAGCACATATTAGCAAGTTAAAGGGTTGATAGAAGTGTAGCTAAAATAACTCACTTTTGAAGATATGGGTGGACAACACTTTGGAACCTTTCCGGGTCCAATCCTGCCACCAAGTCACAAAATGGTATAAAGTGTTTAGATAGCCTCTGGTGTGTAACAGAATCCATGAGCTGGCGCATGTGTGGTAATAACTCATCCATTGGTGCAGCATGAATGGTAAATGCCACTGATCCGAGGAGTTGCTCAGTGGAGGTGTCTGGAAAGACATTGGTTTCTGTTGCCTTTGCGAGAAGACGTAGTAGGGCATTTAGGGTTCTGTTCCAGTCTGCCACTCGGGAGCCCTTTCTCGCAACGATACAAAGGAATAGAGTATGGCAACCGACGCGGGTAACTACGGCCTTATCTTTGGCCGATATGGATTCATTATATTGACAAACGGCGTCCAGGACCGGACGAAAGGTTTCCGCAGTACAATAGTGTACGAGGTTGATCAAGACACCACTTAAAACTGACTCCGATAAGGCACTTTGTTCTAGGTTTTTAACGCCTACAGCCTTCATTAGGCATCGAAGTATGTCAATGCCGTTAGAGTGAACGGTACTCTTGATGCCCTTGGTCGCATCTGCAAACATAGCCATGAGACCCTCCTGGTAGGCCGTGACCTGGCGTCCTTCAGCACTGGCCTTAGCTAGATCCTCGAGCAGAAAAGTTACTGCACGTTCGAGAGGTTTTTTGTCCTTGTAGTAGATCGCTGCAGCTTTACGGATAAGAAATGAAACTGACTCCGCCGCAAAACGAGAAACAAAGTGCTTCTGGTGCTCCTTTCCAAGATACTGTGTCATTATGGCCAGTAGAGGTCTGAGGTCTGGTACAAGAAGGCGCGAGAGAAACTTGAATATCCAGGCCAGACAGGTAAAGCTCCATTCTATAACATCGATGCTCTGATGGGTGGCCGCAACAGCAGCAATCAATTGAACAGCGGCTGCGAAGTGCTTCTCAAATCTTGACCCAAGATCCCGCGCGAACTGTGCCGTCAAACTTAGAAGCGGCTCCATACTCAATTCGTCCTTCTTCTCAATATATTCCACCAACAGGCCCATTATCGCATCTTGGTGGTATAGTACCTGCGGCATGTTCTCGCATAACCGATCCACACGCTGGACAAAATCTGTAAAATTTTCGGACAGATTGAGCTCCGCCCAATGATCTAGGGAGGCTCTAAAGCAGGATGAAGTCTCGTCATCATCATCTTCGCCAAAGGTCGTCCGGCGAACTCGATGGACAGGGTCGATCTTGAGCTTCAGGACGCGCTGGGAGAAGGGCTCCCATCGGTGGGATTTGGTAGTTGCAGTGCCGCCTTTCTGCAGCCTCGGAGGCTTGCTCCGCTGACTCGAGGACGCTGCAACCATCGTGGTCCAGCTGCGACAACTCGACTTCACTGTCGCTTCAATGTTGAATATCGAAGCTCTGACAATTCTTTTTTTTTTTTTTTTTGGATCTATGAATTTTTGATATCGATCCATTTTTAACTTTCGGCTTATCGGAAAATGTGATATTACGGCTGACTAATTCCTTAATAATAATTTTATTACTCAGCAAACCTTACTTCAGCGGCCATCTTAATTGTGATGTTAGACTTCAAGGAAGAGAACGAACGAACTTGATGTGAGAGGGCGAAAGCAATTGCGGACGGGGATATGGCATCCAAAGTGTAAGCTTGAGACTGGAGCTGAAAATACTTATTGGACTGATTGATGCTAACATATATACATAGCATTGTGGTCGGAGGGGTGAACTCATCCTTTCGAGAGGTGTTTGGCAAGCTCGAGAAGCTGCAGGCTAAACAACAATTTGCATGTGCCATTATCGCAGGAGATCTTTTTGGGGAGCTTTCTACAGGAAACCCCAAGGATGATCTCAGTGCATTGCTTCGCGGAGTTATTCAAGTAGCGTTGCCTACCTATTTCACAGTTGGGAAGAACGGCATCCCGGATGAAGTGGCCGAAAAGCTGACGAAGGATGATGAAGTCTGTCCAAATCTCTTCTACCTAGGAAGACGAGGAGTACTCACCACGTCAGAGGGTATTAAAATTGTCGCTCTTGGCGGTATTTCTGGACCGCTGCCTTCAGACACTAGTGTGAATGAGAAATATCTTCCATATCATACAGAGGCTGATGCTCAGTCGCTGTATTCAGCAGAGAAGGCTGATATTCTCATAACCTATCAATGGCCAAAAGGAATTGAGAAGGGCTCAAAAGTCCCTACAGGCGAAAACATGACGGAGTGCAGTCAGTGCGTTGCGAATGTCTGTTTAGCGTTGAAGCCTCGCTACCAGTTTTCGTCGGCTACAGACACATTCTACGAACGGGAACCTTTTTTTCATATTCCAGAGGATGAATACACCGTAGAAAAACACATCACGCGGTTTATTAACCTAGCCCCATTTTCCACTACATCAAAACAGAAGTGGCTATATGCGTTTACCCTGGACCCAAAGAGTGTTCTGCCCACTTCAGTCCCAGCCGGGACGACAATATCTCCCCTCACCGCAGTAGCAAGGGGGCGCGGTCCGTTACCTAGCCAAAAAGCATCATTTACACGCTTTAGGCAAGACGATGGCCAGCAACGGCCCGCTAAGCGAGCAAGAAAAGCTGCTCCTGGTCCGTCAGAATGCTTCTTCTGTCTCTCGAATCCTAACATTGCATCTCATTTAATCGCATCTATTGGAAATGACACATATATTACAACTGCAAAGGGGCCACTGCCAACGGCATATACCTTTCCAGCTCTGGGATTCCCAGGCCATATTCTCATAATACCATTGATCCACGCACCATCTCTCGCGTCGATAGAGGACCCAGAGTCTAAATCAGCTACCTATGCAGAAGTCCAGAAGTACCGATCGACACTTCACTCAATGCTTCAAAGGAGAGCTGACGTGGCTTTAGGCGCCGTCACTTGGGAAGTGAGCAGGGGTCGTGGCGTGCATATTCACTGGCAGTTTATGCCTGTCGATGCAAGCTTGGTTCGCCGTGGTCTTGTTGAAGCTGCATTCAAAGTCGAAGCCGAGAACCTGGAATACCCAAAACTTGAAAAACGGGAGTCTAGCTGTGATGAGCCGGACGATTATTTCCGGGTATGGATCTGGGCTCCTGGGCAGGCAGTAGAAGGAGGCGCTACCGGGAGCGAAACAACACTAGTTCTTCCGCTAAGCGACAGGTTCCGATTCGATGTCCAGTTCGGCCGGACGGTGATGGCCAAACTGCTAGGACTGGAGGACCGGTTGAACTGGCGAGACGCGTCGCAGTCAATGGAGGAAGAGAAGAAAGACGTTGAAACCTTCAAGGGGGCATTTAAAGACTTTGATTTCACTGTCTGAAGGCTGATGCTGATATTCTCCTTTATAGATACCCAACCTCTTTTCAATCTGTATTAATATACATTGTTTATAGCTAAATGTCAACATTTGTTGTGTGGGAAATAAAGCAGAGTTCCAAAAAGGGAAGCCGCACCAAGCTTTCGATGTTATTCTCTATGAAGTCATCAACATGAACTCTCAACATCAACTTCGACATCGACTGTTCCTTTTGCCTCCACAACTAGCAGGCGGGTTCTAGATACCAAGACACATGAAATCATTGACTTGAAACATCCGCTAGCGGCTATACTCACGCTCCTACACACCCACTTATATATATACACATTCACCACCATGCCTTCCAGGATGCGTGCACTCTCCAGCTTCTCCTCCCGAACAAGCAAACGGCGCAGTCTACTCCGTCGCAAACGCAAACCCCGGATAAACTCAAATACTTCATCAACGGACTCTTCAGCGGACATCGCTGTCAGCGGCTCGGGACACGCAGAAGCAGCACTCACGTCCCTGTTCGCAGCAACCTCACTCACCCGAGTTTCCTCGAGAAACTTTGATATCGTCAAAAAGATGACCCAAAAGAACAGCATTCCCGATTCCTTTAGCGAGACAACGCCGGCTACCTTTGCCGGCAGTCTGGGTACAACCGATATCAACAGCATCGACAAAACAACAACAAGCAAGGCTGTGACGGCCGAAAAACTGTCAGATCTGCCCCCACCAGCCCAGATAGAATATGGAGTGCTACGCGAGCAATGCCCTAGCTTGCCTGCAGACCCAGGTCTACATGCTGGCATCCTGCTCCTTGTAACTGACTGCGCCGGCGAGGTGAAGCTTGGAAAATGTGATGGAGAGCCCGGATGCGAGACTCCCTCTAAGCTGGGCAGTTTGAAGAGAAGGGCGAATACAAATTTTGGGGACTAGAAGGTGATCGATCCTATCATCAGGTGTTTCATTCCTTATGCACAGTTGCATCTTCCTTTTCTTTTTTGTACTTCACCTTTTGGTCGCTCGTTTCAATGCAATTTATTATTTACCACTCTACTACCCGGTCTCCATATATAGTTAAAAGCGGTCTGTATAGATCTCAATCCCAGCTCGATAACTCGAATGGCAGCTTGTCCGACCTGCATGCAAGCAACATCCCGCGCCAATAATTGCTTATTCTCCCGGATTTCCTGTGCAGGCCTGGTTCAGAACCTCCACGGCTAGCTGGCCATTCATGGTGGTCACAGAATCTACTTTTCAACCAAGCTCTTACACACACAGCCAGAGCAAAGCCATTCTCCCCTGTTAGAATCAATCGGCCGATTCACCCGCCCCCTAGTGGCGTCTCCAAGGTTGGAATGGCTCGTTACGGGGGGCAAGAAGCAAAGAAAAATAACGCCGAACGTTGAACATCAAACGCCAAACGGCGGATGAGACGGCCAGACGAAGAGGGCTCCAAGGCCTGATGGGCGCTGCAAGACCAGGCAGAGAGGCCTGCTGCCGATCACCGCGAACAGTTTCTTCCTTGGTTTCTCCTCGGCACTGCTCCTGTGTAGCTCTACTTATACACCACCTGGACACCACGGGGCAGTCATTTCTCTTGCCGAAGCCTTTTGCCGGGATGCGGATGCTTGCTGGCTGGAAGGATGTTTCATTGCTCTCATGCAGGACAGGCAGGGATAGTGAACAGCGAGAACAGTCACAGCGATTTTTTTTGCTATGTGACCGGGCAATCAAGCATTAACTATTGTAAGGCAAACTGGACTGATGGGGCCTCCAGCGGGTCAAGGCTGGCCCGCTAATGCTGATATATCGGATATTATACGGAGTAACCGCATACCAAGTACGAAGTATATATATACGTCTAGCTGCTGACTGCCTCTAGATTTGCATATGGTAGAGCTCTCAAATAGATGCATGAACTGCTACAGGCAATCGTGCGAACACAATGGGCTGCGATATCAAGAATTCCGTGGTTCAGGCTGAGGCCGCTCTGCCCTTACCACCGCCCGGAGCAGGCGAGCCGGATACAGAAACGGACATGGAAGTGAAGCGGGAAACCGATGGAGGAAGTGTTGATACGGAAACGTATCCAGAGGGGGGCCTCAAGGCATGGCTTAACATGCTGGGGGCGTTTTGTGCCATGGCCTGCACATTTGGCTGGATCAGTACGTTCGGGTTAGTTGTCTTCCCCTAGCAGGGCTTTGGTAGATGCATTCAATGCATTCAATGACTAACAGGACTATGTAGGGTCTTTCAGGCATACTACCATACACACTTGCTCAAAGAAAACACCCATTCCCAGATAGCCTGGATAGGAGGGCTGCAGGCCTTTTTTATATGCACTACGGGCCTGATATCTGGCCCCCTGGTGGATAGATACAGTCTCAAAGTGAGTAACGTTCAAATCTACATCCTGTTCAATCATCTAGTTGTAAGGGGGTAAAAAAAAGTCTAACGCCCAGATAGCCTATATTGATCCCCTTTTCGCTCCTGGCTCTGCTATCGGTGATGATCACCTCCATCTGTGAAGAGTACTATCAATTCATTCTCACACAAGGCGTACTAGGCGGTTTCAGCGTGGGGATGCTGTATACTCCATCCATTTCAATTATGGGTCACTACTTCCACCGCCGGCGCGATCTAGCCATCGCCGTCGCCTCCGCCGGCTCGCCCCTGGGCGGAGTGATATTCCCCATCGCCCTGCTTCAGATGCTGGAACACTCCTCTATCGGATTTGGTTGGGCTGTGCGGGGAGTTGGGCTGATATTTCTTTTCTTCCTCTGCATTGCTTGCGCTACACTAACGCCCCGAGTGACTCCGCGGCGAGGACCGCACTTCCTCTCCGCCGCGTTCAGGGACCCGGTGTATGTGTCTCAGCTGGTTGGTTACTGTTTGGTGTTCTGGGGCATATACACACCCTTTTTCTTCCTGCCATCGTTCGCCATTCTGCAGGGTGTCAGCGTCGATTGGGCCTTTTATATACTACCCATCTACAACACCGGTTCGTTTGTGGGACGCATCGTGTGTGGTCGTCTAACCACCATCTGCGGTCGGTTCAACACCTTGCTGGCAGCCATACTCGTTTCGGCCGTGCTGATGTTTTCCTGGATTGCTGCAACATCGCTGGCGGGCATCATTGTGTTTGCTGTGCTATTTGGCTTCTCGTCCGGGGCTATCATTGGTCTCTTCCCCGCTGCAGTGGCCGTGACTGCGCCGAGAGCAAACCAGATCGGAACGTACCTGGGCATGACGATGGGGGTGCTCGGACTGTTTTGTCTGACCAGTTCGCCGATGATGGGCGCCATCGTGACCCGGTCCGGCGGTCAGTATGACGAGGCGATCATTTTTAGCGCTGCCCTCATTGCTGTGGGAGGGAGCTTGATTGTGTTTGCTAGGGTGAAGCATTCCGGCTGGAAACTGATTGCTTGATGGCTTCATTTTGATGTTGATAGCATTTTTCTTTCTTTCTTTCTTCTTTCTTTCCTTTAGCATATTTTTAATAGGTGCATGGCAGGGAGTTAGAAATGGGGGTTATCCGGCATGCACTGCACATAGTAAATAGCTGCGCAAAAGGCAAAAAAGGGACAATTCAAGGGACAATGGTTAGACATCAAATTAGATTGTTAAGTAAGTCATGATATAGACCTGGAAGTAAGCAGGTAAGCATCCAAGCATCCAATCAACCCAGCAAACGTAAGGCCACCCAATGCCCCAGTCAAGTTCGTTACCCATGTAAAGGGGGGGAGGAAACATGAAAAGTAAACAGTAGACAGCTCATCAACGTATCTATAGAGAAGAAAGAGAAAAGTGAGAAGAAGAATATACACCACAACAGGAATCCGAGCCGGGATATAACCAAACATATCAACAAACGAGTAGTAGGAGCCATCACAGCATGAACGAAGAGACGGGAAAAAGCCAAAAGGCAAAAGGTAATAAAAGGGGGGAAATAAGAAAAAATAAAATAAAAGGTAAACTATACATCTCTCCAGGAGTTCTCTACGGGCTTCCTTCCGGCCATCAACAAGCTTGGAGCTCGAGGTGGCTGTGATGCCGACTGCTCTGCCTCCTGTGGCTGGTCTGCACCCGACCCCTGTCCGTTCCAAAGAGGAGGTGGTGTTGACGTCGAGGGTGAATAAGGCGTGTATGTCCTTTGTTGCTGAGCGGGAGAGTAAGATCTTGAGGTAGGGTAGGGCAGCCCGGTGTGTTCTGGACTATATGTATTTACAGGCGATAGCTGTGGTCTAGGCGACGGTGTGCCCCTGATATGTTGGACGGGAGACCGAGTGAAACTGCGACTGCTCCCGTTTGGATGTGTGTAGCCATATGCATCACCTGCGCCAGGAGGAGCAGGAGTAGCGATGCCGATGGTCGAAGGGGACTGAGTGTTGTATCGTGGTGGGGCGTATATTTGGCCTGACGTCTGCTGATCTTGCTGGGAGTCATGGTACATGTTTGACAGTGGTGCCGGGCCGCAGCCCGGTGAATGTGCTATACCGATAGCAGTGGGAGGGATGGAAGGACTGATATGGCCCTGATCCAGGCCGCGGTATCCTCCACCCATGTTCATGTTCATGTTCATGGACTGTGAGTGACGGGTGTGGTGGTGGTCTGGCGGGTAGATAGGTGAGACGGGTTGTGCGTGTTGGTAATAAGCCGAGCCGTGGGCTGCCCCCGGGTCATCTACTACGCTGTGCCCCGTGACAGGGTTGAGATGGGACATTTCCATCTCCTCGTTGTGGTGGGATGTGTCCTCCACACGTCTGGTGGTGGCATCTTGCCAGGTAGGCATGTTGGGCAACGCATCGTCGTTGACTCTGGCAGTCGATGTGGGCACTGTGGGCGCGGGACGAGATCCCAGGGTATCGAACTGGGCGTAGCTGGGGGTTGAGCTGGCGGCCTGGGTATTGTATACTGGCGGCGCAGGACGCTGGTAGCCGGAGTAGTCGTCTGCGAACTTGGACCGGCTGTCGTAGGCGGGTGCTGGCGGTGGTTTGCGAGAAGAAGAGGAAGACGGACAGCAGCAGGAGCAGCATTCACAGCACCCCTTGCAGCAGGTGTAGCCGCAGCAGATGCAGCCCACGAGACACCAGACGACGCTGAGCAGGATGAGGCCGCCGACGATGATTCCAACGATAGCAGGCCATCTACAAATCGCCAATTAGCACATATATAAATATAGATATCGGATATCCAACAAAAGGAAGGGAGACCGACTTGCAGTAGCTTTTGGCCATACACTTGTCCCAGGAGGAGAATGTGTCCTTGACATCTCCGGTGATGCCTCGCGGCGCCAGCTGGTGCCACGGCGTAAACTCGAGCGGATCCATGGTGATAACTAGCAAGTGTCTTCTTATCTGGCTCCTCAGTCTATCGGATCTATGGCCCGTTATCGAGATGCGTCCGCTATCGAGGAATCGAGCGGTCTATCGTGGTCTATAGCGAGGGGTGTATAAGGCGAGGGTGACTCGAGAGACGCAACATGGGACCGGGAATGACCAAGAGTGAGTCCCCTGGAGTAAAATCTAGCCGGCGATTCACGCTGGCTTGCCCCAGAGACCGAATGGGCGATGGTTCGTGAGGCCGAGAGGGCGCAGATAGTTGTGGCCGCAGTGGTGTGGTTCGGCTGGGTTGTTGGTTAATTAGTGAGCGGAACAGCGGACGGCGAGCAACGAGGCACCAAGACAGGCAGCGAGAACAGCACGAGCGAGCGACAGTTGCCCTGGACGGCGATGCAAGTCGTAGTCGTAGTCGTAGTTGTAGTTGTAGTTGTAGTTGTAGTTGTGGTCGTGGATGTGAATATGTGGATGTGGATGTCAGTGTCGAGGCGGACTGAGGCCCTGCGCAGCCTCGAGATGTTCGACTAACTAACGAATTTTCCTGCGCTAAGGACGAGCCAAGGCCGCGTTCCTTGAGCTAAAAAAAATCTGGTTATTATTGAACTTACGACGACGACGGACGATGACTGCAAGCTTGCGCCACGCTGGGCCGCGAGGAGTGGAATTACGGAACACGGATCATGGGTGGCCACGATGGTTTATTTTATTAGGATTATTTACTACTGGCACAGGCGGACATACAGCATGAGACGTGAATAGTGATAGGCATACGGGGTAAACAAGGGGAACCAGAAAACAGACAGCCGACGAAGGGAAGGAAACGAAAGAAAAAAAAAAGGACTAGGGATCATCAGCCCTTCTGGCCGGGGTAGTTCTGCCCGTAGGCATTGGGAGGCTGCTGCAGCTCAACGCCGGTCTGCTGGGGGGCATAGTAGTCCTGAGCAGCTCCGTACTGCGGCGGCGGGCTCTGGACGCCGCTCTGGTGCTGCTGAGGATACTGCTGGGGGGGATACTGCTGCTGCTGCGGCGCCTGAGGGTACTGCTGCTGCTGGGGGTACTGCTGGGGATACTGCTGCTGCTGGTACTGCGGCTGATGCGCCTGCTGGCCCATGCCGGCCCATCCCGTGCCCCTGAACGGCTGCAGGCCCTGACGACGTCGACGACGGGCAGATATGCATCTAAGGCAAGTTAGCACAGAGCAATTACACACAGACGGAAGCAGACGGGATAGATAGATGGGATAGACGGGTGGGCGGATGATAAGAAGAGTTGACTCACGCAAAGAGGAGGAAGAGGAAAAAGGCGCCGACGACGAGGACGACGAGGACGACCCAGCGGCCCCAGCGATTCCACGGCGACGAGTAGTAGTAGCCGCCGTTGTAATAGCCGCTCGAGCTGTGCGCAGCCTGGTCAGTTAAACTTGTCTCTGTATACCAATCTCGCTATAGACAGCGTATGGGGACGGACGGAGTGGGCGGCGACTCACTAGTATCTCTCTGCGATGACGCCCATCTTGTCCGCCCTTGACTGCAAATGCTCGACGCCTGAACTTCTTCTTGTACGGCCCTTTGTGCGGTACAAGTTTAACAATAAATATCGATATTCAGCTGGTTCTCTTTATCTTCTTCTTTTTTGTCTTTTTTATATTTATTTTTGAGGCCGCAAAGAAGCCGCAAAAAAAAAAGCTCGAATGATAAAAAAAAAAAAAAAAAAAGAGTCGATCGATGGTCTTGGCGTCACGTGAGGCGGAGTTGATGCGATGGAAAGTAGAAAAGAGGAAGAAAGTAGCAGAAAGTAGATGAGAAAAGGAGGGAGAGAGAGAGGTGAACAAACGAGAGAGAAGACGAGACGCTTTAAAGACTGCGAGCGAGATGAGGAATATGCAAGGGCGAAGACGGAGAGATACGAGCAAAGCGCAAAGAAAAAAGCTGCGCCCTGCAAGTGATGACTAAGGCTGAGCCACGATTAGTAAGTAATGCATCATGTGATCTCCACTCTCACGTGAGAGTGACGTAATCAGAGACTTTGAAGGCAAGAAAAAGACAAGAAAAGACAGGAAAAAGACGAGAAAAAGACAGGAAGAAGAAAAGAAGAAGAAGAGAAGGAGAAGAAGAAGAAGAAGCAAAGATATGAAAGAACAAGAAGAAGGTGGTAAAAGTCAGGTTAAGGAAGGTTGCAGTGTTTGGAGGGAGTGAGAGTCTCTCTGGTACGGAGGGTCCAGGAGCTTCGTTTTTGATCGGCGGCAGGTTATGGAGTAACTTGCCTCGTACCAGTCTTATTTATGACGGTCTCTTGAGTCTGAAGAAGATGAGCTGGATATAAGGAGAAAGACACACGAGAAGAGACGAGATCCCCTCCAGAGAGCCAGGGGTTCCTGCAGCTCTGGCTGGGCCAACCACTCACTGAGCTGCTTTTGCAGGAACCAGCCAGGGGGAGGCCTGCTCTGCTCTGCTCTGCTCTGCTCTGCTCTGCTCACCTCGACTTCCCCCTTATCTACCACTGACGAAGTACTCCATCTCCTGCTCGCTTCTACTTCTTTACTTCTTCTACTTCTATTCTGCTGTCCTTCTGTAGTCCATCTCGGTGTCATAAGTTATAGAATGACTAAGCAAATACACCACTCCCATTGGCCAGTTCGCCATGCAACGCCAGCTCATCGCCAGCTCAGCATAAAAAAGAGTCCGAGACGAGCAGACGAAGATGTAGAAAAAGGGGGGAGCAGACGGGGGAAAAGAGACCGTAGAAACTGGATTAAAAGCGAAGATAGTATTACACACAGCATGCTCCGAAAGACAGGACAACAAACATAACCAAGGAAAGGCAGGCGACACCATGGTCAACGGCTCGACCGCGCGATGAGCCACCGCAGCACGGCGTCGAGGTTGGTCTCTTCCTTTGCGCTGATGCCGTAGCAGCTCACCTCGCGCTTCGTGATGCTCTTCAGCTCCATCGCGTCGATCAGCTCGTCGACGCTCAGCACGTCCGGCAGGTCGGACTTGTTGCCCAGCACCAGCAGCGGGATGCCCTCCAGCGTCGGCTTGCTGACCAGGTCGTGCAGCTCGTCCGTCGCCGCCGGCAGGCTGGCCCTGTCTGCGGCATCCACGATGTATCTACCGCTGAGTTAGCTGCTTCTTCTTCTTCTTCTTCTTCTTCCTTCGGGTTAAGGATGACATACACAATGGCGTTGACTCCGCGGCAATATCGCTCCCACATCGGCCGGAAGCGAGGCTGGCCTCCCAGATCCCAGCTGCTCTAGTCAGTCAGTTCATGCCATGCTCATCGGCTTATCTTTCTCTATCAGAACAAACGGGGGAGCTTCTTCAAGAAAACTGACCATTTTAGCGTGACATGGCCCTTTTGCACTCGTTTGGTGTTGAAGCCGATGGTGGGTATAGAGCTGTCAAAAAGACACAAAAAGGTGAACGAAACAGTCAGTAAACACACGATATTCGCCACCGTCATACACACCAGCCCGGAACATCGACAAACTACTCACTCGACAGTGAACTCGCCGCCCTAAAAACACACTAAGTCAGCATATTTTTATTTTTCTCCCTCTAAATCTTTTCCTCTTTTTCTTCATCTCGACGTCAAGCTTACCGCCAGCACTCGCAGAAGAGACGACTTCCCGGCGTTCTGCAGGCCTACCATCGTCACGTCCATCTCCGTCGCCCTGCCGTCCCCGTCGTCAGCGCCATCGGTTCTCCGACCGTTTTCTCCTATGAGCAACGAGGTAAAAGACGTACCAGAACATCCTCAGCAGCCAGTCATAAATACTCCGAAAGAAGCCCTGCATCATGATGGTGGCCGTACCTGTACACACCGCACCACAAACACAGCACGCTCGTTCGTTCACACAACTCTCTCGACTCCCACGCACACACTCTCTCTCCTCTTCGTGCGCACAACACCAGCCTTTAGCTGGTGGGTTCAGCAACTAGTTAACTGAACTAGTCTAGCCGAGGCCGATCCGAAGGCGAACAACACTCGAGGGTAAATAATAAAGAAGTAAAAGGACGGGTACTTAAAATAGATGCAGGCTGGAGCCCGTTAGGCCGGACAAGTGCGTACGATGGAGACTCCCCAGACTTGGGCTGCTAGAGCTGTTAGACCAGGTGAGATGCTTGCCGTAATTAATAGATAGATAGTAGATACGCCGATGGCCTCAAGGGGGTTTGGTTCAAGCAAGAGGAATAAGAGGAAGAAGAAGGCCGCCAGACTAGAAAAGAAGAGAAGATGAAAGGAAAAAGAAAAAACAGTCCCAAATAATAGATTGGCCGTTAATAGTGTAGTTATTTTATGCCATGGAAGACAGATCCAGATAATCCCCAAGAAGCGTTGATACGGTCTGGATAATGGCAGAGCTCGAGATGTAGTTATACAGTTATGTAAACGTCCGCCAGGCTGATGTCAGGACAGAGACAGTATCAGAACCACGGGCTACGTCGGAGTATTCGACCTGTCGGCCAACTTGGCTGAGGGTGATAAATCGTTGAAACTAGTGATTTATATATATATATATATATATCTGTGGTACTTTGCAAGTGTCAGAAGGGTTTGTGTTATGAGGTAATAGACGCTGCGTTAACTAGTTAAAATAGCCACTTAGCCGCGCAGCTCTGACCACTCGATGACCTCAACGACTCTCCATGGCTGGACAACTGGTTAGCTGTTCTACGATAGCCATGTTCAGGATGGCTACTAGACGCTGTCGGCCTCTGGTCTCTTCCCGGCTGGGTCTCGGTTCGTGTTGTCATACACATGCACGCCCGGAGGAGATGCGGGAACGTCGCCTGCGTTGCATTGCATATGCATCCCCATCCCCATCCCCATTTCCCTACGCCTACGCCTAACTCTACACACACCCAAGCTTGCGGCGTCACCGATATTAGTCAAGGTCATTTTCGGGATCAGCGCCATCCTGTTTCCCAGTAACACCGTATTTGACCTTCATCAATCCATGGATGGTCTCTGCCAGATTCCCGACGACTCCAGCCTTTCCGATCTCAGCCAGGCTAATTTCAAGGCCCATGTTGCGTCTGAACCAGTTTTGCATCTCGATAGCTGTGAGAGAATCAATGTTAACGCCCGCCAGCTCGTCCTCGTCCATGTCCTGCGTATGCGCCATGCTCTGTCTAACCATCATCCCCAGCACTCCTTGGAGTATGCTCTTAGACTCTTCGGTGTTCAGGTATGATGCACTCTGTCCAATCTTCGACAACAGCAACTTGACCCCGTTGTTCGCTTCACCGGCAGTTCCGTCATTCCCATTGCCTGCCAGGTTTGAGTATAGCGCAAACCGTGCATCCCTGGCCCATAGTGGGCGTACTCCAGGCTCAGTCAGTGGTTTGGTATTGCCCAGGCCGATGATGCTGGAACTGGACGTCAGGCTGTCTGCTGGTGGGGGGTTGCGGCACTGGTAAATGGCCAGCCGTACTCCTTCGATTAGCTCATTCTCATATATCAGTCGGAGTGAGGTAGATCGAGCATTCTGGAGAGCTGCTTCATTTTCACTTGCCATGCCAATCTCGTCTACTATGCCCAGCTCAAGCACAGATGCAGGCAGCCCCAGCTGGCGCCGGTATTGTGTGAAACTGGTAAGGAACCCGTTAGCAGCCGCATAGTTGGCCTGTCCCACGTTCCCGCAGACGCCAGACACAGAACCGAACAGCACTAAGAATTCTAGGTCCTTCTCGTTCTGCAGAGCCTCGTGCAAGTTCCAGGTTCCTTGAACTTTGGTATTGAGACATGTCGTCCAGTCTTCATAGCTCATCTTACTAAAAGTGCGGTCCTAAATCAAGTTAGCCGCCTAGAACAATCTATCAAACCCAAGCAATGAGACATACTTTTAAAACAGTGGACAGCTGGAAAACCCCAGCAAGAGGCTTGGGACACTGAGCAATCGCAGATCTCACGTCTGCTATATTGACCACGCTGCCTGCTACACAGACCGCATGGCAGCCTTGATCTTCCAACTCTCGTATGAAGGCTCGGTCCTTATCCGTTTGCCCTGCGGTTCTTGACAAATATACCAAGTGACGAGCTCCTTGCTCAACCATCCAAGCGGATATAGAACGTCCCAGGCCTCCTAGCCCACCTACCAAAAGGTAAGAGACATCTGGTGAAAACTCTACCGGAGCTTTCACACCTGCCAGCGGGATGGCTGAAAGATCTTGAGGAAGCCGGATCACAATTTTGCCCATATGGGTTCCTTGCTGCATGTAACGGAATGCCTCAGAGACATCTGCTGCATCGTAGACCTTGATGGGCCGGATGGGCTTGAGGCTGCCTTGGCTATACCACTGTTGGAACTTTTCCCCTATCCTGTTGCACTGGTTAGTTTTAATAGTCCACAGACTTCCACAAACGGGCCCTAAGCTTTTTTTTTCTTTCACTTACTGCCTCAAGATGCCATGATCCGCGTTTATCCAATGACCTAGGTCAAATCCTATGAATGAGCGATTTTCCATCATTGGTGCCATATCCAGGCGTCCATTGCTTAAAAAGTCTCGTTTCCCCAGTTCAACCATCTTGCCAAACGGTGCAACACACTGCCACGAAGTGTGTAACAGTTTCCCGGAAAGAGAGTTCAAAACCACGTCAACGCCCCTACCCCCTGTCTCCCTCATGATACCTGGCAAGAAATCTGCATTTCTAGAATTGAATATGTGATGGCGTGGGATGCCAAATTCATTAACGAGGTATTGGACCTTCTCTTCGTTTCCGACAGTGGCGAATATCTAGAACATGATATAGTTGGTTATAAGGTTCGCACACCGCAGCCGGCAGCCTGTCATTTAGAATGGGGCATATTCACATACCTGCGCACCTATCTTCTTGCAAACCTGAATTGCGGCCAGGCCAACTCCCCCACAGGCGGAGTGTATGAGTACCGACTACATGTCGGTTTTTAGTTAGCTATGCAATGGCAATATGGAGCGTTCCATTGCTGCTTACCTCGCCCTCCCTGACCCGAGAAAAGGTTTCTAAGCACATGATAGACGTAAGGTATACGCAAGGTATTGTTGCAGCGTCTTCCAATGTCATCGTATCTAGAATCGGGAGGACCGTATGCGCTGGCTTCACAACCCTCGTGCGGAAGGCACCAGTATCCAGTACAAACACTCTGTCTCCAGGTTTAAAATCGACAACTCCAGACGCTACCCGACGAACGATACCACTGCCTTCTATACCAAACTCTTTAGGGTCCCCAAACAGGCCGGTCGCTACCATGACATCCTATCATTACAGTCAGCGAGCTGTATTAAAACCCAACAATGCCTTGGGACGACATTAATGTACCCTGAAGTTTAACCCAATGTAATGCATATCAACCTCGATTTCGTCCCCCGTTAACTCTGTGGCATCAGCAAAGGGTTGCCAGTAGAGCGAATCTACTGATCCTATAGACTTGATTGCAAGTTTCCTTGGTGTTTCCCCCAAGGACTCGATTGGCATCTGACTTTGAGCCGACATCCAGTGGCACCGGCCATTATATATGCTCCCATTATGAAATGCGAACTCATAGTCAGGGTCAAGAGCAGAGGACGCGCGAGACCATTCGATCTTATCGAGTACTTTGCTCAATCCATTTATTGCGGCACTGTTAAACATGTCGGTCTCAAAAGTTGAAATGTCAAGCCCCATTTCATTCCTCAGTGTCCTGGCCAGCCCAAAAATGATGCTGAAATTGGGGTCGCTACACTCAAGCTGGTTCATTCTTGTCACCCATATCATCCTCGACTTCCCTATTTTAGTTAGGTATGAATGAAGGGCAATATATTTTTCTTCGGATAGATTATGGAGATAAGGACTCTCCAGATCTAGAACTGAGACAATACACTGGTTGGTGGGAGGAGATTGATCCAGTCTGCCCCAATGCACTCGATACCCTATTTTTTCAAGGCTACTTGCAATTTTTTTGGTCCAGGGGCAAGGAGTGTCTCCCGTCAGGAGCGTAACGTCAGTCTTAGGAGAGGAAGAGGGCTTTGCGCTTGACAGTATTGAAAAGGATGTTTGATGGGGAGCGTCGAAATCAAAACTAATTGCGTCTACTCCAGAAAACCCAGCCGTGTGGAGTTGTTGCTCCCACTGCTCGGGAGACAGGCCTGGCTGTTCGGGTTTATCATCATCACCCGACCGCCATTCCGGATGAAGCCCCTATTTGCCTGTTAGCTATCCACTCATTAACAGCCAACAAGTACTTGTTACATACCAGAATATAGCAGGTAGTTAATACTCCTAAATATAGAGCCTATGAGCCAAAATTCACAGAATTGTATGTGGTCTATCGTATATTCACGTACCTGGTTGCAATTCGTGTAATAGAAGTCGGCCACCAGGGGTAAGCAATTTGTATATATTCTTGAGAGCCACTTGAACTTGGGCCATAGAGTGAAGAACCTAGATAGTAAAAATTAGCCGGTTTCTTATCGACATCAAAAAAAAAAAAAAAAAAAAAGAGTATGTGTCGTCAACGCTAATTACCCACCTTGGTCCCCGGAAATCGTACTGCCATGATAGCCTATTAGAAAGAGCAAACTGGCCGGTACCAAGAATATGGTAGCGGTTGGTGTATTGAGGGTCTTTGCTAGCAAGATCCAACCAATCTTCACCATAAACTCCGACATAGCAGCCAATATTTTTCCCTTTCCAGTCAGTTTCACCTGCGCTTTCTAAGCATTCCCAAAAGACCTCCATGAGTTTGCGCTGCTGCGGATCCATCTGCCCAGCCTCGTGACTATTGATAGCAAAGAATGATGCATCAAAGCAGGCCGGATCTTCGTCAAGGAAATAACCATGACGAGTTTTGACCATGTGGGTCTTGTTCTCACTGTAAAAGGAATCGATATTGTACCTGTTACCAGGAACCTCACAAATTCCATTTTTCTTTTCAAGTAACAGTCTCCAAAGTTCATCGGGAGATTTGACCCCTCCAGGTGCTCGCAGTGCCATTCCTACTATGGCAACTGGGGGGCAGCCTTCGTTTTTCGGGGTCTTCTACAAGAAGATCATGACATTGAGCTTGGATTCATCCAACAGAACATGTTTACATACCATTTGCCACCCACTGCCAGATGTTACGCTCTGTCCTTCTTCTGGCTCATTTTTATTGTGATTCAAGGTCACAGGTCGTGGTTGTGAGTCGATAATTGCAGAGCCTTCATTTTGAATCGCCATCTTGTCACAGTCGCAACAACGAAACACGCTTTGGGGTCGGGGAAAAATTGGTCAAAGGTAGAGAGTATGGAGAAGCGCAACGGATAAAGGTAGGCATATAAATGCTAGCTCTTTCTCCATCAAAAAGGTGTTAAGGAATGCCGGTCCACTTTGAAACGCAGAGGCCATAGCGTAGGTCAATGCCATAACGTGCTGTAAATTGAGAGTGGGCTTTATCTATTGGCTGCTGTCATTTGGCTCTTGGTGATCTGGTGTTTGCATGCAGCATCGGGAGAAAGTGAAGGACGTCCGCGGAAGCCATGCCTAGAGCGGCGAATCATATCAAGTGTCCAAATAATGGGATTGTCTGTACGAATAGTGCGACTATTTCTGGGGAATGGTTGATGGGGTGGCATCCTATTAAATATCCAATGCAGAAGCCCGGAACCATTACATCCACAGAAAATTGCCATTGGCGTTTTTGCGGTCGGATAGGGCAAAAATTGGACAGCAGTGTGGGCGAATTTTGAATCCGGCTGGGAGATCGAAAGTTTGATATCGTAGTTATTGTTGCTGAATTTGATGGGCTTGTTATTCCGTGAGCCCACTCAGCATGCCACTTTGCTTGTGCGCTTGTTGTACTCAGTATGGGCGGCATGCAATGATGAAATCGCTGCATCCAGAGAGGTGCATATTTGTAGTTTGAAACGAACTTCATGGCAGCTGCGCCGAGCATGCGTCAAGGAATAGCTGGTGAGGTTGGATATACGTGTTGAGTTTGTGGCTTAAATGGGCTGATCAACTGCTCCGTACGAAGTATGGAGTAGTCAACTAACTAGCTATTCAACCAGTTAGCCCCGCGTTATTGAGAAACAAATAATACAAAGCACATGAAGCAAGTACTCCCTGAAGGAAAAGGTAATATTATAACAAGCAAGACAGTGGCATCTAACAGGTATCGCGGAGCCCCTTGCCCCTTGTTGAATCCGTTATCCACTCACTCGCCGGCTCGCCAGGCCATATCCATATTGTCCAATCAGGTCACCATCCTTCAGAGAAGTACGAATGATTGTCAAACAACCGAAGCCTGGAGCAATAGTTTTATGGGTCGATTATTCTTCCGGTCACCATAGATCTGGATATAAGTTTGTTAAAGCTCAAGATCCAAGCCATGCTAGTGCACCACATGTTAAGAGGCCATCTAAAGTAGTGAGGGGACAAAAGCTCTCCTCGACCCATAACTAGTTAGTTAATTAGCATTGAGAAATTTTTGGGTTGCAGTTCAAGTAAGTAATAATGATTAATCATCGAGTCAAGATATCCTCAAGTTAGCACGCCAAGGCTAGAAGTTTCTCCAGTGAAGCGCAGCGTCCTGAGGCTGTCCTGCTCAGTTGCGACATAGAAGACTATTTTTAACAGGCAGCAGAAAAGACTGCACGCTATAAGTTGTGCTCCGTACTCTGTGTGGGCAGGGACAATATATACGTGTCTGTTTATATGAACGTCGAATTTGAGCTGCGGAAGGAGAGGAGATAAGCTTCGACATCGCTGAATAAGCAAGAAGTTGCATGTTTATTGGCTAAGATACGTTAACTCAGCTTTGCTGTTTTAGCTAAAGCAGCGGCAGATACTCCTGAAATACTCTTGAAAGAGCGAGAGGTCTGACCGGTTCCGGATTGGTCTTATCACCACGTGAGGATAAGCATATATCAAACCTTAACTGATAGTGGTGAAAAAAAGAAAAAAAAAAAAAAATAAAGCTAAAAAAAAATCAGCTTAACGGCAGCAAGCTCCTGCAACACCACCACGACCAATTCCAAGGCGCCTCATCAATATCCTAATCCTCAGGCAGGTTAATTGAACCTGGTTCAAAGCTTTATTGTGCCTCGCTATGAAATCCTAACTTTCTCCTTGTATCTACATCTCACGACGACATCAATATGGGGGGTAAAAGCGACGCCGACTGGTCTGTTGAATATGACACTCTTAGGCGTGAGCGGTTGTTTAGACACCCTCCAAAGGATAAAACCGCCTATCCTGCGCTTGCAGCTGCCATTCGCCCTCACATTGACTCTTTTAATGCCCTCTTTGAGGATACCAAGGTGTTGGAGGCAGCTCTGAAGGATATTGGAATAAAATCATTTATTGACGGGAGCTCAGAAACCCCAGAGGAAAAAGCCTCTCGACGAGAGGATGGAAGAAGGGCGCCAAAAAGAAACAAACTTAGCGTACGGATAACTGAGTTATTCCTAGAGAAAGCAGTTCTCCCTGCTTCAAACAAATACAGCACGCGCAATCGAGAAATCTACCCTGCCGAGTGTCGTGAAAGACATGCGACTTACCGAGGGAGGCTGAGGGCAAGATTAGAATATAGGATAAATAATGGAGAGTGGAAGGAGTCGGTTCGGGAGTTGGGCCAAGTTCCCATCATGATACGGGTATGATTGACCGTACAATACTGAATACGCATAACCCACTGGAAACTAGCTGACCTGGTTTTAGTCCAATCGATGCCACCTAGAGAAGGCTACCCCGTCTCAGCTGGTTGATCACAAAGAAGAGTCGGAAGAGTTGGGCGGCTACTTTATCGTCAACGGAAACGAAAAACTTATCCGGATGTTGATTGTCGGTAAAAGAAACTTTCCAACCGCAATCATCCGAAACTCTTTCCAGAAGCGTGGTTCGGCGTATACAAAGTTCGGTGTACAGCTGCGTTCGGTCAGGCCAGACCAGACTTCGCAGACGAATGTTCTCCACTACCTCAATGACGGAAATGTCACATTTCGATTTTCCTGGAGGAAAAACGAATACCTCGTTCCTGTCGTGATGATTTTGAAAGCCCTAATTGAGACCAATGACCGCGAAATATTTGAGCGGTTGGTCGGCAGAGAAGGTTCCTTGGGTATTGAGAACACATTCGTCACTGACCGTGTGGAACTTCTCCTGCGAACATACAAAGCATACGGCGTCCATTCTCGGTCAAAGTGCAGGGCCTATTTGGGTTCTAAGTTTAGATTCGTCCTTGGAATGCCAGAGGATATCCCAGAAGAGGATGTTGGTACTGAATTGTTAAGAAAGATCGTCTTGCCGCACTTGGGTAACCAGAACGTCACGGAGACCCAGGACAATGACAAGTTCAACATGATTCTGTTCATGATACGGAAACTCTATAACTTGGTCGCGGGAGATTGTGCGCCTGACAACCCCGATGCTGTATCTAACCAGGAGGTCCTCCTTGGTGGCTATTTGTATGGCATGCTTCTGAAAGAGCGACTGGAGGAGTGGTTAAAATCGGTTGGCCCCATGGTGCGGGACTGGAGAATGAGAAATCAAGATGCCAAATTCACAGATCCCAAATTCGAAAGGGAATTCCTTACAAGGATCATCGGGAGAACGAATGAAAACATCGGTGGTGCTATGGAATATTTCTTGTCCACGGGGAACCTGGTGAGTCCTACTGGACTCGATCTTCAGCAGCCATCGGGCTACACGGTAATGGCAGAAAAGATCAACTTCTACCGATTTATCAGTCATTTCCGAATGATTCACAGGGGAAGCTTCTTCGCACAGCTGAAAACTACTACGGTTCGAAAATTATTACCGGAGAGTTGGGGATTCCTTTGCCCCGTCCACACCCCCGACGGAAGTCCCTGTGGTCTGCTGAACCACTTGGCACATAAATGTTTAATATCGACGTCAAACCTGGATGTTTCTGGTATACCTGGAGTTCTTGCTGGGCTTGGAGTGACATCAGAATCGTCATGTTCAATCGAGGAGAGTATCCCTGTCCAGCTAGATGGAAAGATTCTAGGATACTGCACACCAAAACAGTCTCGTGCTATTGCTGATACCCTTCGATACTGGAAAGTCCAGGGCCACAAGCAAATTCCAGTAGAACTTGAAATTGGTTACGTTCCCAGTTCGAATGGTGGTCAATATCCGGGTGTTTACATGTTCTCAGAAGCCGCTCGTATGTACCGACCAGTTAAATATCTTCCTCTAGATAAATTGGACTATGTCGGTCCATTCGAGCAGCCCTACATGGAAATTGCCTGCGTTGCTTCTGATATTAGGAACGGTGTTTCTACCCACATTGAGTTTGACCCTACTCACATCCTCTCTATTCTCGCCAACATGACCCCATTCTCTGATTTCAACCAGTCTCCACGTAACATGTATCAGTGTCAGATGGGTAAACAAGCAATGGGAACACCCGGCACTGCCATCGATTACAGGACAGACAACAAGCTCTACCGACTACAGACTGGCCAGACGCCGGTCGTCAGGCCGCCTCTGTATAACGCCTATGGACTGGATAATTTTCCTAACGGCATGAATGCAGTAGTTGCTGTTATTTCATACACAGGCTATGACATGGATGACGCTATGATAATCAACAAATCCTCTCATGAGCGCGGGTTCGGCTATGGAACAATTTATAAGACGAAGATTTACGCTTTGGATGATAAAGAATCACGAGGACGAGGGAAATCCAAGCGAGCAACCACCAAACTATTTGGATTTGCGCCTGGCGGGTTGGTCAAGGCGGAGTGGAAAGCTCAGCTTGATGAAGACGGACTGCCACATATTGGAGCCAAGGTGAGCGAAGGCAGTCTGGTGGGTGCTTGGCACACTGTCCAATATGATCCAGCAACAGACACATACATCAATGTTGACAAGCAGACGCACTTCCTGAAATACAAAGATGGAGAAGAAGGATTCATTGATAGCGTCAGAGTACTTGGATCAGAGACTGGAAATGAGGTGTGCCAGGCTGTCAGCATTAAGTACAGAGTGCCCCGTCGGCCAGTGATTGGTGACAAGTTCTCATCTCGTCACGGTCAGAAGGGTGTCTTGTCCCAACTCTGGCCAGCAACTGATATGCCATTCTCCGAGTCTGGTATCCAACCTGATGTCATCATTAACCCACATGCTTTCCCGTCTCGAATGACGATAGGTATGTTTGTCGAGTCGCTAGCTGGTAAAGCTGGCTCACTACACGGCCTGCCTCAAGATTCGACTCCCTTCCAGTTTTCTGAAGAAGCGACGGCAGGAGACTTCTTTGGCAAACAGCTTCAGAGAGCAGGTTATAACTTCCACGGAAACGAGCCCATGTACTCTGGTATCACGGGCCGAGAGTTTGCAGCCGACATCTACATTGGCGTCGTCTACTACCAGCGTCTGCGACACATGGTTAACGATAAGTTCCAAGTGCGTACGACCGGTCCTGTCAACGCTCTGACTGGCCAACCTGTCAAAGGTCGTGCTAAGGGTGGTGGTATCCGTGTTGGAGAGATGGAACGTGATGCGCTGTTAGCCCACGGTGCAGCATTCTTACTGCAAGATCGACTCATGAACTGTTCCGATCCTCAGCGTGCATGGATATGCCGAACCTGCGGCTCTTTCATCTCAACACAAGTAGCTGTTTCGCAGCTCCTATCGCCGCATAAAAACCCGGCAATGGATGCCGTCGTCCAATCCACTGCCAGCGCCATAGCCAAACCTCTTAGTGGAGTCAGTGCCCTCGGTGGCCTGGCTGGTATTGTACGATGTAGACGATGCGCCAGAGAGGCGGTCTTTGATGATCCCCGGGCAGAGGTGTGGGAGGACGGTTCTGGTAAGAGATATGTTGGCGGCAGCGATACAACTGTGGTTGCGGTTCCTGGAGTGCTCAAATATCTCGACGTGGAACTTGCTGCTATGGGTATCAAAATGAGATTCCAAGTCGATAATTAGTAGTTAACATTATCTTTTCATTTATCCGATTTTCTTTGTTTATACTGCTTGGTTGTGCATGGCAGCAATATATGCCTAGATATGTTTCCATCCATTCAATTCGTATTCTCACAAGAGATATTAAGGCAACAAGTTATGCTTATGAGTTGGTTACCAGTAGACTTCGAGATGGTGTAGAGGAAGAAAGTAGCCCTGGGACACTGCTTGAGAGGTTAGGCACAGCTATTCGCTAGGTACAGCCTCTAATCAGCCGTTTTGGTCAAGGTGATTCTGGGATCTAATTATAATGCAATGTTGAGTTAAACCCCTGAACGAGAGTTGTGCCACAGTACTCTCCCTCCAAATTAGTTTAGTAGATACCTCGTTATATGAAGATATAAGACCATTTTATCGGCCTTGATTAAAATCTGGCATATTCACTTATAATATATCTTCAATGTACGTCTCCGGCGTCTTCCCTTCTTTTGATCATCTCTATCAGTCTCTTCCATACTTTTTTGATATTCATCACGTGACTTGGCCAAAAAAAGAAATCTTCGACCTCCAGCAAAAAGACGACGAAGAAACACGAACAAACGCGACTCTACAGCCAGCTTGACAGGAGACGACGGAAACGATATCGAGCCAGTTATACAGATGAGCCGACAACATCCAGTAGCCAGGATGCAGGATCCGGCGGGAGGAGTGCCTCCTCAGCTTGTACGTGAGAGTTCTGCTGTCAAAATTAGAGCGAGATAGATGGCTAATAAGTTTATAGCTACCACACTTGCACCTGGTGTCTTCCTATAGATACCCAGCTTCAGCTGCGTTCACGCATGAGACGGCGGTGGAATACCTACTAGCGGCGCCCAAAGTTGTCAGAGAGCTTCAACCAATGCATTGGACCTACCTCGATGGACCGCCGGACAACACGGTTATGCTGACATGGCAGCCTCTGAACCACCTGGGAACCAATTTCGCGAGTGACGGCTATGTCTGGGCTGACGTCGAGCAGGCCTACACGGTCGAGGTTCGCGGATATGTATGAACAATGATGATTCCAATACTTGCTCGTCGATTTCGCGTTGTGTTGCTGATTCCTTTTTGCGCGCAGATTCTCGAGATATACATGCACAGAACAGGGTACCACCCACCGAACGAGACCATGGCCACTCACTCACGCCGAAGATTCCGAATAACCGGCCTAAAGACTCCCAACCCAAATCTACCACCATGCGATCCGTCTCTATGGATCGTCTTTTATAGCAAGGCGCCCTCCATCGACCAACTTCCGACTTCTCGCATTCCCGTTTCTCCCCAGACACAGAACATACTTGGCCAGCGTCGCTACATTCAGAGTCAAGGCCAGCTTGCCAGGAAGGAATTCATGCTGCATGACAGGAATAACTGGCCCACCATCAACTTACCGCCTCATGGACAGCAGCAACAGCCTTACCCCCAGCCCTACGCTGCGCAAATGATAGCCCGTCAGCAGGTTCCGCACCCACCCATGCAGCAGCAACAAGTCGTTGGATATCCTCCTGGTGTCGTCCCGCCCAAGGCCCAACGCACTCAGCGATTACCTACCGCCGCGGCCCCTGCCGTCCCAGACTTCTCTCTGGATGACGAGGAGGTGTCGACAGGAGACATTCTCGATGCACTTACGCCCAGAGATATCAGTCGCATGCGTTACAAGAATCATCACGAATGGATGGAAGAAGTCTTGGCTTCACCGTATCGAATGGACCAGATACTCCCTGTCGACCTTGGACTCGGTCGCAAGGGTGAGCTAGAGAGCTTGACCAAGGGTTATTTCTACGCTCCTGGCGCGCTGGCATCCCAGCGAAAAGAAGGTGACGGGCCACCACCAGCAACTGGCAAGATGGACCCTGGGAAGGCAGAAGAATTTGCCAACTCTGTTGCTAAACGGCTTGCAGAGATGAATGCTGAGATGGAGACCATGAGAAAGAAACATGCTCGCAAACTGGAAAAGACGAAGAAACTTTCAGCCTTGAGAGAAGCAGAGTTAAACCTACGAGATGCAGTCATTGATCCGTCAGACACTGGGGATGAAATCTGGAGGGTTGAGGGACGACTGCGCCTTGAGCAAGAGGAAGGCATGTCACCAGTTGACTACAGCGATAAATCCCTGAAGAAGAAGGTAGACGATATTGTCGACGGACTACAAGCCAGCTGGGGGAGGACTGTTGTTCCGGTCACAGATATCAAGTGTGTGGAGAAAGGAGGCCTACAGGAGCGGGTGCAACCTCCACCACCACCTCCTCAGCCCGCCATATCAGATGCCAACATGATTAACACATTACATTATTCGCAGTACGACGGAGCAACCGACGGCGGCGTTGAAACGGCGCCTGGAGTCTCTGCTCCTGCACAGGGGGTACCTACATCCGCGCCCTCGCAGCCGATGCTATCATCAGCGGCACCACCACAACCCGTAACCACGGCTCCGCAAACTAGCGAAGACGTTGTCATGGGTGGTGTTGAGCCTTCAACGCAATCACATGCGACACCGGGACAGCCAGCAGCAGCTGAAGGGGATGGAGACTGGGTAATGGTAAATAAAGATGGCCAGGCGTCCTCGGCGTCACCCTCCAAGGACCTCAGTTCTACCGTGGATGAAAACACACAGCAGCCTACCTCCACTGCTGGAGCACCTAGCACAACTACTGCTGGGGGAACAACTGCTACTGTGCCCGCTGTAGAAGCCACTGTACCAGGAACCACTCCTGGGGCCACAGGCGAGTTTGAAGATGAGAACATCAATACTGCCGGAGAAGCACTGGCTGACTACCATGGAGATGTAGGCGGTCTTGATATGGGCGGCATAGATGACTCTGCCTTTGGAGATGCCTTCCATGCCACTGAAGGGAACATCGGGGAGCATCATCATGAGACAGATGAGATCGCGTAGACGGTCAGGTCAGCTGTACGACTACTTCAATACAGGGAGGCTGCTGGGCTGCGGAAGCTGGAGTCTGGAAAATTATTTGGAAGCATGCACTTGCTTTTTGTTTCGCTGCTATCTTCCACAGCTATTTTATTGTTTGTATTTTATTGGAACAGTAAATGTTGTTATGTTTTTATCAAATCGGTGATTTGGCGATGCGATAATTTGGTATCTATCATTTTGGCAGCATTAGTCACAAGTTTCTATCTGAAGAAGCCGCACGGAAATATAGAGATCTGGCTCGCTGAGGTCGACGATGAAACTACGAGCATTGTCTAGAAAATGCTCGAAAGCTACTCTGTAGTTCAATGTTATTTTCTTCATGCAAGGCGTGCCAGAGTTGAGCCTCAAATCGCCGCCATCTATCGGCCTTATTCCTAGGAGAACAACGCGGGAGTGGTTGGATGCCTAGCAACCTTCAAGCGACCTCGACTTTGTTCATGCAGGGGACGCACGAGACAGCGAGTTGACTGGATGCGATCAACTGGTTTTCATCTCCTTGCACTGCCTCTCAAGTCTGCTTGAAGCATTTTGTGGCTGACCATGCCAGTGGAAAAGAAAACATGACTCGTGATGTCATCACAGCGGACGGCCTATCGACCCATTCAACGATTTATTTCATGCAGACGCGCTGCAGCAGAGACTGAATAACTGATACGCCGCATTTCGGGCTCTTGATAAGGCTATTTCTGTGTAAATTACCCTTGTCGACCGCTTAGCGACCGCTATGCTGCCTGGAGATGGACCAGGCCAGCTGGCTATGGGTAGGCAGGACAAGGAACATATATACTGCGCAGCAGAAATGTAGTCGAAGATGGAGGGCAGATATTTATGTAGAGGTGGTGACCTTGTATCTTCTGATATAAATAACTCCTCATGATCCGTCGTCTATTCCCTCCTTGTTCGCTCAAGTCATCGTTATCCTCCCAGTGAACAGGTCACGGCACCAGGCATCTAGATCCGAATATCTATATAAAAAGTGACTAGCAGTACGCCCGTTGAAGACAGTTAACCGCCTCCCCGTCCCACTTCAATAGAAGATATTCGGGGCCATACACACACAAACGCTATATCAAGGTACATCCCTATACCTAGTCGTCTTAGAACTCATTTCTCACACCAGAGAACCGCAGAACCAAACAGTTATCCTACACACAAAAGCCGAGCTACATCACATCCAGCCAACTTCTGCCAACGGCGTAAAGGCAGCGCATCTTCAAGTCAAGAAGACGCCGGCAAGACCAAGCCCGTCAAGATGTGCCACTGCGTTATTGTCTGCAAATGTCTGCCCCGGTTTACGCTGATAGAGCCACGCCGTGGGATACAGAAGAAACCATGCCGTCTCCAACGAAGAACCAGCTATCTCATACCTGACTATCCTCCTCCTCGGCTGAACATAGGCAACTTCGATGACCGTCCCTACTGTGAGGGTGGGCCGGCCTTTTCCATTTACAGCCATTATAGGATGGAGTATCAGCGGGTACGCATTACCCAGAGGACACGCCGCTATGACCTGCCTCGTCCGGTGAGCAGGAGATACCATGAGCCCCGATTCAGGACATGTAACCCGTCTAGGTTTAGGGAAGTGCGGCCTGATGGGTATAATTTTGGGGACAATCTATGGTGATTAAACTGCATTTTCACTATGACTCTGGTGCATGTCGGAGAATGGAGAACGGAGTTGAGAGTGAACTGTGTATTGTTGCTGGCTTATACTTTATTTTTTTCACCTTTTCGGATATTGCATGTTTGTTCTTCCCTCTGGGTGGCGGTTTTTGATTCAAATTGCATTGTATACCCGTATTTTCAACACTCGTTTACCAGTTTGTTGGTGGTTTTGTATCATACAGATTGTCAATTGTCTAGTATCGATAGCCTTAATACCCCTTCAACGTTTGATACTAGAGCTATGTGTAAATAATCAATATCAGTTGTCTGTAATATTGAAGTTGTTGTCTCATCTTTTGCGAGCGTACCGATATATGGGCCAACCATATCCATCGACCAACGACAACAATGAAAAAGGGGGTCAAACTCACTGTCTACCATGGGACGGCGACATCGTTGTAGTTCTACTAGTTGCCTTTTACATATCTGAAAAGACCGTCTGGAATGACACATGACGTCATTACATGGGAGCATAAAATAAGGGAAGGAGACATTCAGAGGCGACTTTCGCCTGCTTATCGACGTTACCATGTTTACTCTGCTGATTCCTCTAGAGAGTTGAAGCAGTGTAAATAACCAGAAGACGATATTCACATATTCAAACAGAAGGGAGAGTACTTATCAAATCAAATATGTAAGTGGTGTGAAGTCAAGTTTTGAAACGAGCCATATATTCTGACCTCTGTAGGAACCGCACCCGACATAGTGTAGGCTCTGAGCCATTGAGGCACCGCTTCAGCATAGCCTCGCTACGAGGCATCCAGCAGCCTGAGTTGAGCAAGGAGCTGTTCAAGGTGATCAAGACCGAAGGCCATGCTGTCAACTCATACAAGAATGCAGGCCAGGACCGTGTGCTGGCGGCCTCACAGCTGTCAAACTGGGGTTTCAACACAGGAGACCCGGCAGTCTCTGATATATCAGACAAGCTGGGGATCATTTTGTCTGAAATCGGCGAGCAGGAAGACCTATACTCATATAACCTGGAGGACGCAAGATGTGTCCTGAAACATATCAGAAACACAGAGGGTTCTGTCCAGCCTGCAAGGGATCACAAGGCGAAGATTATCGATGAAATCCACAAGCATAAGCTCCGTGACCCGGATGGTGCAAAAGTCACTGGTCTAGAACAGGAGCTTGTCCGAGCTGAGGCTCGCGCTCTAGTTGCAGAGGCCCAGTTGACCAACATGGTATTTTCCTCATTCTTTTGCCTCATTTTGCCTCCTGACAATGTAATATGCTAACGCGATGGCAGACTCGCCAAAAGTTCAAGCAGGCCTTTGACCTGCACTTGGCTGCGACCATCGAGCGGGCCGAGAAACAGGCCCAGCTTGCCCGTCACGGCCGCCGTCTCCTTGCTCTCATCGACGATACCCCCGTCGTCCCTGGAGAAGGTAGGGAGAAATTTGACCGCCTTGAAGACAGCCGTCAGATAATGGAAGATGCTGAGGCAGATCTCACGTCGTGGGAGCCTAACCTCGAGCCAGTCCCCATGGCCTCCGAAGGGCTCATCCCCAAGAAGATTGAGGCTCATACGAACGGAAACGGCGTCAATGGAAGCGGAGTCAATGGCAAGGCAGTAGAGGAGAGCGAGATCTAGGAGGTCTTCTCCTATTTTATGGGGTCAAAAAGGCATAACTAGCCATATGATGCTGGAGCCGTCGCCCTGCGTTGGATTGCTGCTTTTGTTGACAATTAGTTAGTTAGTCGATGCTCATAATAGCTATATAATTAGGGTGTCCCCTACCTATTTTGCAGCTGCATCATCGTCTCTCCCTCTCTCCATCCCTTCATCGTCCCTCCTTGACTGCTTGTCGTCGTCTGTTTGTCGTCTTCAGCTTCAACTCCAACTTCAACCTTGATAAGAAACAAGTCATGTTCACGTGACCCAGGCCGCAAAAGGAACGCGAAAGCTCAAGGAAGAAGAAACAAACAGCCAGCCAGACCAGCAAGAAACAGCTTCACCACCTTTGCAACCTCGCAGCCGAGATATCTGGACCCTGTGGCAGCTTGTCCTGGCTTTTATACAACCGATATATACCAGCAGAGTCTGACGAATACCGCAGAATGGACACCCTCGTTGCCCAGTACTCCCGGCCGTCGAGCTTCCAGGACGACTACGAGGCGGAGCAACAGGATGTCCTAGAGAGAGCTCCTCCACTGTCTCTCAGATTCTCCCTCCCTCCTATTGACAGAGTAGGTGACTGTAGGCAGCTGTTGTTTGCTGGACCATAACTAACCGACTGTGCAGCCCTCCGCTTTCCTACGAGCTACAACAGACGATCATGCCAACCCAGACTGCAAGATTGCCCATGGTACAACAACACTCGCCTTCAGGTTCCAGGGCGGTATAATTGTAGCTACAGACTCGAGAGCCACAGCGGGCAACTGGATAGCCAGTCAGACGGTCAAGAAGGTCATTGAAATCAACAGCTGTTTGCTCGGGACCATGGCCGGTGGTGCTGCTGTATGTCTAGATCTCCACGTCTTCCTGTTTGCACCATCTAATAAAGCTATAGGACTGCCAATACTGGCTCGCATACCTAGGCATGCAATGCCGTCTTCACGAGCTTCGACACAAACGTCGTATCTCCGTTGCCGCTGCCTCCAAGATCCTCGCCAACCTAGTCTACAACTACAAGGGAATGGGTCTCAGCATGGGAACCATGTGTGCCGGTGTCACCCCCGAGGAAGGTCCGGCACTATACTACATTGATTCTGACGGTACGCGGCTGCCAGGAAACTTGTTCTGTGTTGGATCGGGACAGACATTTGCATATGGTGTGCTGGATGCAGAGTACCGATATGACCTGACGGAAGAAGAGGCCCTTGCTCTTGGGTCTAGAAGTATTCTTGCTGCTACCCACAGAGATGCCTATTCCGGTGGATTTATCAATTTATACCATGTTAAGGAAGATGGATGGGTGAAGCATGGATTCAGCGATACCAACCCTATTTTCTGGAATACCAAGCTTGAGAAGGGCGAATTCTCAAACGTCTCTGAGAATATTGTGAACTAAACCTTTACATACCAAGCTGTTACTCCTTCTTTCTCTGCAATATTCGATGCCGGCATGCATGGTGTATCAGATGGACGACTGCCTGGGATAAATCTACGGTGATTAATATACTGTATCATTATCAAGTCACCTGTGAATGAAACGAATGCATAAGACCTAATTCTGGTATCATAAATCCTTTGTTGCGTATTACTGCCCTAGGATCATTTCTCTTTCATTTTCCTTTTCCATATAGATCCACGATATATCAACTAGTTTCTTTCCGCCGGTTCCTTGGTCGTCAACATCAGTGGTTGCGGAGTGGCTATAGTCCGGGGTTATTGATATATAGCAGCCCCTTTTTTTGCAGCAGCTCAACAGACTTGTTGCAGACATTCCCTTGACCTTCAGGGCCAAATGAAGAAAAGGAAACAAATATCAGTCCTCCCTAAATACTCTACCTATGTAAAAGAGGCCCGCCCGGGCGGCTGCAGATATGCGGAAAAAATGAAACTCCGCAGTAACTTTCGCTTGCTGGGCAGGGACCCGACACGATCAGATGCAAATGATAAAACAACTTGCAAGGTTAATATATAAACAAGAATTAAAGACTGAAGATAACTATTTCACATGAGAGTAGTTTTTCAGAATACTAAATATATACATATACTAGATACTGGAGCCCGTGTGCTGTAGTTCAAGCTGGCATCAAAATGGCATCCGCAGCGCTGAAGACGATAGACTCGCGGGAGACGCAGCATCTTCACGCCGTCGTGGACATGGGCAGGTAACTAGTTAACTAAAAAACTGATGGCCCCCTTTATATGTGTAAGCTAACTCTTAAGCAGCAATGGTATTCGCTTCTCAATATCCGACCTATCCCCTGTGACGCAGCGGATTATGCCAACGGTCTTCCAAGACCGCGCAGGCATCTCGCTCTATGATGCACAGTTTGGGGCTGAAGGCAGCGCCAGAAGGCCAATTCCAGACCAGGTCCGGGACCAGATAGTGTCACGGCTGCTGCGTTTCAAGGTGACCTGCGAGGACTTTGGGGTGCCAGAAAAGAACATCCAGATGCTTGCTACAGAGGCTACCAGGACAGCACCTAATTCAGCAGACTTTCGAGCTGCCATTTACCGAGCGACGGGATGGGAAGTGACCATGCTGCCCAAGGAGGAAGAAGGCCGAATCGGAGGGCTGGGGATTGCATCCAGTCTTTCCCGGGTCGAAGGTCTGGTCATGGATCTCGGCGGCGGCAGTGTGCAGCTGTCGTGGATGATATCTTACCCAGACAGTACCGAGATACAGTCGTACCCTGAGGGATCAATTAGTTTCCCGTACGGGGCTGCTGCGCTGACCCGGAGGCTGGACGAGGCACAGAAGATAGGAGATGAAGCGGTACGACAGCTCAAAGACGAGATTCTGGGCTGTTTCCGAGGCGCTGTCTCTGCTCTCGAGCTACCTGCATGTCTACAGGAAAGAGTAGAGAGTGATGCTGCTGGGAGTGGTGGCCTTGACCTTTATCTCAGCGGAGGAGGATTCAGGGGCTGGGGGTATCTCCTGCTCAGCCAGTCCCCTATCAGCCCCTATCCCATTCCGATTCTCAACGGGTTCAGTACTGACCGGTCACGGTTCCTCGACACCTCCGCAGCCATCGGTACCTTGTCTTCTGAGTCAACCATCTACGGCGTCTCGGCCCGCAGAGCCACGCAGGTTCCAGCCGTGGCATTTCTTATCAATGTCCTGGCAGAAAGTATCCCATCGATACGTAAGATCCACTTCTGCCAGGGAGGTGTGCGTGAGGGCGTTCTCTTTGACAAACTGCAGCCAGAAGTTCGACAGCAACATCCATTGATTGCTGCTACGTCTCCCTTTAAGACTGGTTCTGCGTCCGATATTGCTCTATTGCTGCGGCAGGCCATACCCTACGCAGCTTCAAACGATGCAAAGAATCTGTATGCGCCTCCACCAGCAATAACTTCTCCGGGTTTCATCGAAGCCCTGGCCAATTCGATGTACATGCACTCGTCTGTTCCGAGAGCATCATATGCAAGCACAGCTCTGCATTCTACGACAACCGGTATTCTTGCTTATGCACACGGTCTCTCTCATGCAGACAGGGCCATGCTTTGCCTTGCTCTCTTTGATAGATGGGCAGGCGACGTTTGCCCCTCAGATGAGCTGTTTCTTCAGCGAATTCGGTCAATTCTCACCTTGCAAGAAGCTTGGTGGTGTCAGTACATTGGCCGAGTGGCCGGTCTGGTCGGCAGTATGTATCCTGCCGGAGTGATCAGAAGTGATGATGATCGGATCAGCTTTTCAGCCAGGCTATCTCATCGTCAGACCAAGAAGGGCTTAACAAAGCATCTATTGAATCTCGTTGCTAAGGTACCGGATTCAAAGCACCCTTCTTTTGATGGAGACTCTATCACAGCCGGGCTGAAGAGGATCAAGCGGACGGGAAAGAAAGGTGAGCATCTACGAGGTGACGAATATGAACAGACTGATCTACTGGACTCAGAAGACGAGGGCTGGCGATTAAAAGTAGAGACCGAGCTGGACTGCATATAGTCTACGCTTGGGGCATACTTAGCGGTATATCCCTGGTACTTGTGAAGCATTGCGAAATGATTCTCTGTTGAGTATCAAACTGTCTACCGAGCAAAAACAACATCACCATCTAACTCCGCTATACCTTTCCAACCCACGATACGTATCTGTGTCTACCGAGAACGTCCACCCATGCCACCTGCAGTGCGACCTGGTGGTGGGCCAGGTGGTGGGCCAAGGGAGTCTTCGGATCCATCGGACAGCGAATCGTCATCGAACTCATCATCAGTGTCGTCCAACTCCAGCAATGGTTCCATAGTTCCACCTGAACGCCCCCAAGCCGGAGGACTATATGAAGGCGGGCCTCGCGGTGCTGCAGACGCAGATGAAGGTCCCGGGGCATCTGGCTGCGGTCCAAAGGTCTCAAGTCTTTTCCATTTGGCCATGCAAGCCTCACAGATGCCTCTGATATCATTGACGAGGACGGCACTGCTACCTCCGTCATCTGAGACGTCTCGCTCAATGACTGTCTCTACGGGATCCCCTTCATGGCCGCACTCCCAGCGATCCTTGGACAGGTAGAATTCCTTCTTCCGCCCGGGTACAGGGTTGGCGATTTCTGGGTTCTGCGCAAGGATGGTGTCGTAGTCTTCCCACTCTGCAGGCTGGGGAGTGACGGGCCTCAGGTCTGGGTTGGCTGCCATGGCGGCCTCGAGCTCTGCGATCACAGCAGCCCCATCGTCATCCGGGGCTCTAGATGCGGATGCCTGATTGTTATTGTTGTTATTGTTGTTAGTTCTATTAGCATCTGGCTCTGAGCCGGAATCACTGGAAACGAAGGACATATTGGCAGCACAAAGACTGAAATTAAATCAGAGGCGCAGCAAGTTCCTGGGAGAGATACAAAGTATCTAGCAGTTCTGAACAGGGCCATGATAGTCTGTCTCTGAGAGCCGATGGCCATTTATAATGTAGCACCGTCATTCCTAGTAACTGACGCAACCACCGCCAGCTTCACCAGCCAGGCAGCCAACGCAATACTGTGAAATAACCCTGACCATACTGAATCATATGACTAAATGTCTCAACCGCTAAGTGTCACTAAAGTGTCTCGAAGCGAGAGCTACACTTATTTAGCGCCCACAAACGGCTACCAATATCAGCATCCCCCCTACTCATATCTGCCTCTTTCACCAGCATCTGCTTCACTGACGGCACCCGGGAAGGCTCCGGCTGGCTCTTGCATGCCTGACCTTTGCCTCCCTGTCCCTGTCCACTGGATACAGCAGCAAGAAGAATAAGCAAAACTGCCTACCAAATATCCATGGATGGACCAAGGATAGTTATCAAACACCAGCGCAACTCAATATCCCGGATATTCGGATGACTAAACCCCCACCACCTGTTTTCTTGCTATAAAAAACCCCGCAGGCCGTTTTCTCCCCATCTTCTTCTTCTTCTTCTTCTCTTCATCATCATCGAATACCAACTTCGTAGCCGGACAGTTCAGCATCAATTGCCCTTTGTCCAGCGATAAGATCTCGGTTGACACTCACAGGTGACACTTCGTCGACTTTCTCCCTTTTACCTACCCTTTCGTAGTTACATAGCCACTAACTGCCGTATAGACACAACATCAAGACCGGTACATCTCTCCAAGATGGAGGTCATGACTCCCCAGATGCTGGGAAGAATATCCAATAAATGGTCAAGGTATCTCGAATATAACAACTCGTGTGCATGAACCGGTGTTCGTTGTCCTCGATTGTCTTCGTCCTGCATCCAACTCTGCCTCCTCGTGTGGGGGATGGTCCAGAGAGATGCTAGATGCATTGAGGCTTCGTTCTGAAATTATACGGTCCGAACTTGATCTGGATAATACCAGCGAAAGGATCATGCTTCCCCCTTCCCCTCCGTCGCCCTCTGGCTCTATCTCCAGAGGGACGATGAAAGCACTGCTGTTGGATCATCTAACCTCGTCTAGTCTTCCGCCGTAAACACGCTATCAAACGTCAAATTCTGCAAAGATGGCTCCACCACCAACTGCTACTCTTACTGAGACCGTTGCCTCTGTTGGCAATGTTGTCAGAGACAACTTCGCCGGCGAGGGCAACACCCTGGCCCAGGCTGCCCCCGAAGCTGGCTCTGGCTCTGGCTCTGGATACGCTCTGCTGGACGACTTTGCCGGTAAATGGGAGGAGTTCAAGTTTGCTCCCATCCGTGAGAGCCAGGTTTCCCGGGCCATGACCAGCCGTTACTTCAAGGACATGGACACCTACGCCGAGAGCGACATCGTCATCGTCGGTGCTGGCTCCTGCGGTCTCAGCACCGCTTATGTCCTCGGCAAGGCTCGTCCAGACCTCAAGATTGCTCTGATCGAAGCCTCTGTCTCTCCTGGTACGTTGCCGTATTGCGTATCACACCTCTAGTAGTTGACTAGCTAACGGATGAATAGGAGGCGGTGCCTGGCTTGGTGGCCAGCTTTTCTCTGCCATGGTCCTTAGAAAGCCTGCCCACCGCTTCCTCGATGACCTGGGTGTCCCGTATGAGGAGGATGCCAGCAACCCAAACCTCGTCGTCATTAAGCATGCCGCCCTCTTCACTTCGACCTTGCTCTCCAAGGTGCTCTCATTCCCCAACATCAAGCTCTTCAACGCAACCTGTGTCGAGGACCTGATCACCCGTCCTCGCGCCTCTGAGGCCTCGGGCTTCCAGATTGCCGGTGTCGTCACCAACTGGACTCTTGTCACCCAGCACCACGATGACCACTCCTGCATGGACCCCAACACCATCAACGCTCCACTAATCATCAGCACCACCGGCCACGACGGCCCATTCGGTGCTTTCTGTGCCAAGCGTCTCGTTTCTATGTCTGCCCTTGAGAAACTCGGAGGTATGAAGGGACTGGATATGAACTCTGCGGAGGAGGCCATCGTCAAGAACACCCGTGAGGTCACCAAGGGCTTGATCATCGGTGGAATGGAGCTTTCTGAGATCGACGGATGGCACCGTATGGGCCCAATCTTCTCTGCTATGATGCTTAGTGGTCTCAAGGCCGCTGAGGTTGCCCTCGAGGTCTTTGAAGAGCGAAAGAAGGAATGCTCTGCATAAACGCCTTTTCTCATGTTTTTATTGACTTGTCATGATGATACCGAATGACGATGGGAGGGAAAATATGTGACTTCGGTCGATGAAAAGATATGTAGTTAGTTGGTCTGTTGAACTTGACCATTCACTTCAGGCTTAACTAGTATACGCTCATTAGCAATATTATCTAAATTGTACTCTGCTCTTGATGTTATATATGTCATATCATTCGTAAATCCAAGTCATGACGCTTGTCATAAAAAAAAAGAGCAAAACGTGGAGGTGGAGGGGTTTATTAGTGAGCACTCTTTTTGGGCGACCTAAGATCCTCCTCTATATCCAGGCCTAGGCCCAACACCGTCCGTCTGGTATTCTTGATTTCCCACTGGAACTCCTTGAGTGCCCGTATCTCACTACTGACGAATAGTCCACCAATTAGACCATCAATAACACCGGCAGACAAGCTAAGCGTGCTGACAAGGCAGAGGATGAACGAAACGTATGGACGGGGTGTCCACCACGTTCCAATAAAACACCCAATGGACACCGCTATCGAGATGAGGAAGTGGCCTAACCTTGCTCGTCGCTGGAACCGTTCTCGTACCATGTAGACAGATATCGTATCCAAGATATCATCATATACATCAGCAGATAAGGCGGGGACTGGTTGTTTGGTGACTTCTGGAGGCAGATTAGATGTCTGTCGTAATATAGCATAATCATTGATGGCTGTATTGGGGCCAGTGTGGCTTTGGATTGGCAGGTAAAGAGATGGGGCATTCTCATCGTCATCTGCATCACTGGACGGTTTCCTTTCAGTCCGGTAGACAGGCGGATGGGCTCTGACAACAGTGGCTTCGACCGAGAAGTGATCGCTCAGAGAACAATGAAGTGTTGGGTGACGCTCCATCATGCCCACCCTAGCAGAGTGGATATTCCATTTCCATGACGATGATGAGGATGGGACAACGTCATCAGTGTGATTGAGGTATAATCCATTCCCTACGAAGATATAATCCAGCCTCTTTGCATATGGGTCTGGTAGACTGCCATCAACACTGATATGACCCTCTCGAGCCAACCTTTTCTGGTCTTCTTTGGACCACCGCCAGGTATTAAAGGCTCCATCACAAGTTGCCCCGTTTTCAAGTATATTAAAGTCTGCACTTGGAATTGGCTTGTTACGCGCAATTTCAGCGTCATCTATGGCTGCACCGATAGACGACTCTGGGCGAAGGTAGCGCCATACATCTGTCACTGGGGCGTGGGCGGTGATCAGGCGATGTGCAAAGGACAAGGGAAGCATGTTAAAGTCTCCGAGACCGATAACCAGATGCCCTCTCTCCGCTGCACCACGCATTAGCTTGGCTATTTCCCACGCCTGGGCAGTGCGGTGGCAGATATAAGAATCGTTCGGCTCCCGCTCATAGGGGGCATGAAGATGCGTACAAAACACCGCAGCAACATCCTTTGAGCCTGGTCCAATCCTTATTCGCGCGTACGCCACTCCCTTTCCCACAAACCAGTCCCCTCGAAAGAAAGCCGTTGGCCGTCCGTTCAGCGGATACTGGAACATACTGCTTTCCTCGATCGGCCATTTCGACAGAATCGCCAGTCCTCCACCAAATATTCCGCTATGGTAGAACTTGCCATAGGGCAGGATGTGCCTAGTCTCGTTGCGGATCGCATTGTAATCTTCCTGTGTCCAGCATTCCTGTAACCCAACTATCTCAGGGGGAAAATCGGCGTTGGCGAGGCGTTTGCCGATCTCCAACAGTCTCTCACGGCGGAACTTGGAGATATACTTTAAGCCCCAGCAGTTAAAACTGATAATGTTGATTTTATGGGGCGACTCATCGCTATATTGCTGGGTGGTCATGCTGACTGCGCTCCGTAGTACTCCGTATGAAGAATAACGACGATGGCTCACAGCGCACGAGACGCGGTCCCCCGCACAAACTGAAACCGCACGAGACTTAGCGGCCGCCGTTCAATCCCAAAACTTTTCGATTGTCAGATGTAACGCCTTTCCAGCGCAATTTCTGTGCTTTTCCCTCGCCTCTTCAGCAGTACCGACATGCAGACATGCAACGCAAAAGATCGAAGTCGTTTTGTTTTCCTTTTCGGGATATCCAAATATTCAAATGAGCCGCCTGTCACGTGACGAATCTTGATCCTCAGCCATGGATCCATCGAAATCTACTCCGTACGGTTAACTAGATAGAAAGCATAAGCAGTGCCAGAGTTGTGTATTATTTCAATTAGGCTAAACATCTAACCAAAGTATTATTTATGCCTTGCTTGATACGTTTTTTCCTCCTAAATACTTACTATTAACGCCCATTCCAGCCTCTTTCGCCCGGATTACGTAAGATCTTTAATCCAGAGCCGCATACCAGGTGACACAAATAAAGATTAGCTCACCGCCTTCAGAGAGCCCAGTACTATTGGCTAGTTGCTAATAAAGCTTAATTCTGCCACTATCAAAGATCGAAATTCCGCAGGAAAAACAAGCAAAAAGGGTGACGAAAAGACCAAGAAAAGGAGAGGAAGGAGAGAAAAGGCAAAGGAAGAGGCAGCAGGCATGGGTGACGAGATCCCTCCTACAAAAAAGCGCCGGCTGGACGATGGAAGTCCTCGACCCACAGACAGCAGTTCGTCAGACGAGCTCGGGAGAGACACGGATACTGGCCGGCGAAGAGCCAGCCTGGAGAGAGATTCACGGCCACAATCGCCGAGCTATCGCTCTCCGAAAGTGAACAATCTATCATCAAGGTCGCGAAGTGCGTCAGGTAGCGATGATGAGCTTGCCGGGAGTGTAGAGGCTCCCTGGCGGTCTCGGTCGGGCCCCCGTTCACGGTCACATTCACATTCGCAGTCACCCTCACGGTCACCACGATCAAGGTCAAGATCGCAGTCTCAGACTCGTTCTCGCGGTACAAGGAGCAGATCGACGTCTACAACGAAGGAAAGGGGAGCGCAAGGGTCTGATCGTGGGTCAGCGAATGACCGGGAATACAGCGAAAGTGAATCGGAGAATGAGGACCAAGCAACACGAAGTCGACAGCAGACTCCCAAGCAGACCACGCCTCCGCCACTACCTCAGCCTGAATGCCTTTGTTATAAGGAGAAGTTTGTGCTAAAAGGACATCAGCGAGGCGTTTCTGCAGTGAAGTTCTCTCCTGATGGGACGATGCTAGCAAGTTGCTGTAAGAACAACTTTTCCTTTAGACGACTGATCTTTTTACTAACCTATTTTTAATAGCTGCTGATGCCACAATAAAGATATGGAATACAGCTACGGGGACTTTGGTTCATACTTTTGAGGGGCATCTGGCGGGCATATCTACTATATCTTGGAGTCCAGACGGGGAAACAATTGCGTCAGGGTCGGATGATAAGTCAATACGGCTCTGGGATGTGATGACGGTTTGTACACATCTATACACAAATTGCTACTATTATACAGCTCATCCGGGTATTAATTATGGATGTTTATAGGGCAAGCCGTATCCAAATCCGTTTGTCGGCCATCACAACTACGTCTATTCGATCGCCTTCTCGCCTAAGGGAAATATGCTGGTTAGCGGTTCATATGACGAAGCAGTTTTCATATGGGATGTACGATCTGCCCGAATCATGCGCTCTCTACCTGCCCACTCAGATCCCGTAGCGGGTGTCGACTTTGTCCGAGACGGCACGCTTATAGTCTCCTGCGCCGGCGACGGTCTGATTCGAATATGGGATTCGGCAAGCGGACAGTGTTTGCGCACGCTTGTCCACGAAGATAATCCCCCAGTTGCATCAGTCAAATTTTCACCAAACGGGAAATTCATCCTGGCCTGGTCGTTGGATGGATGTGTACGGTTATGGGACTATGTGGATGGACGATGCATAAAGACATATCAGGGGCATACCAATGAAAAATACAGCATGGCAGGCACATTTGGGCTGTATGGACATCGACGACCCCCCGCTTCTTCTAAAAAGTCTCCCAAAGAGCAGCAGGCAAACATTGAAAAGGAGTACGCTTATGCAGCGAGCGGGAGTGAAGACGGCAGGATAATATGCTGGGACGTGATAAGCAAAAAAACGCTGTTGGAATTGACGGGTCATTCTGACGTTGTTCTGGGGGTAGATGCCTTCTCGCCGCCCACAATGGACCAGAAGAGGCTTATGGCAAGCTGTGGTTTGGACCAGACGGTTAGGATATGGGAAGAAATCGAAGATACAGCAGAGGTGAGAGCGGAAGAAACAGCTTTGAAAGATGTACAAAAGGAAGAAAGCCCAGTGGACAAGGCAGAAAATGAAGATGCATCGATGAACACTGGGGAGGATCCCGCGATCAAGGCTGATGATAATGAAGGCTCAGATATGCAAGAGCAGACTCCTTTGATGGAGAAGGCTAGCAATGACAAGGACAGCGATGGTGATTTGGTTATGGGATAGAACAGCATCAGTCATGAGCGTTGTATAGAGTTATGACCATGGCCATGGTACTACATATTCGCGTTGTATCGCACGTTCATGATATATTTATCCAGGATATATACATCCAGCTATTTCTTTCACACGGTGACCAGAACCAGCAACCGCATAAGTGACCTAATAAGAAGAGGCATATGCATATACGGGGAATGAAAGACAGATCTAAGCATTTTCGATGATTTCAGCGTCCTGCTTACGGTCTTTGGCGTTCATACCAGCCACCTTGTTCTTCGCGGCCTCGGACTCGATCTGCTCCTCAGTGACCAGCCCGGCCACTCTGGCTTGTTCTTCGACGCTCAACGGCGCAATAACATTCTCTTCTGTGAAGTAGTTGGTCTCCTTGACGTAGACGACCAAGACATACACCATACCGATGACCCCAATCACATATAATCTATCCTCGTCAGTACTATAACTAATACTAATATATATAGACGAGCAATAGCAACAGACTTACGAGAACTGGAGAGACAGCTGGCCTACAAAGGGCACATTTTGAGCAGCCATAACAAACGAGAGGCAGATTCCTAAGCTGAGAGTCCCTTTGAAGACTCCTCCAAACTGAGCCAGCTTCGACGGATCATTGGTAAGGGCGCTGACAACCCATTCGATAGTCATCTGGTAGGCAGCGTAAATGGCACCAAAGAGGAGGAAGAGCGCAAACATGCCGCCGAACTCTGGATCGGTCCAATCCTTTGCTTGTGGTTTCTTGAGGCTGCCGATGTGGTTGATATCAAGCCAGGCATAGAGACCCGCGCTGGCACCGAGAGATATGGCGGCGATGAATGCTACACCGACAAAGCCTCTGGTCTTGCGGCTCTTGACCTGTCGATTATCGAGGATAAAGACCATGACCCAGGGCATGAAGACCTGGATTGAGTGGAAGGCCAGGTTGTTTAACGACCGGGTCCTCAGGTTGAAGTAGAATGCTCCAACACGCATGTTAGTATAGAACTACTTAACATGCAATGAAATCACACATACCATTGATACTACTGACCAAGGCAAGGCCCATCTCGCAGCCTAGGATGGCAGGGAAAAGAATGAACATCCGAGGGTCAAAGAAGGCCCTGGCCATGGACTTGAGCTCGGTAGACAGCTTGGTCGGTTTGAAGACGGCGATATGGGTCCCATCCTTGCGGACGACCTTCTGCGGGTCGACAAGGAAGAAGAGGGCCAGGAAAAAGGGGAGACAGTGGATAGCTGTGAATGTCCCGTAGACAGCACTGGAGACTCCTACGGCCTTGTGCTGGTGGAAATTGGCTGCGAAGGCGATGATGGCACCCACAGTCGCGCCGGTTGACCGCAGCATCCACTGAATACTGATGAACTATGTACTGTCAGCGTGTACCTACTGTTCCTTATGCATGGGGAGTACCTTTGCTTTGTCCTTTTCCTGGGGATAGGCAAACTGGATGAAGGCTGCTGCTGTCCACAGGGGCCCGCAAAGGGAGCCCAGGAGGGCCCCGGCTAACAGGGGGAACCAGCTGTGGCCTGTACGGTCGTAGTACCAGAGGCCGGCGACGTACAGCGGGTATCCTATCGAGCCCAGCATGACGCTCTTCTTGGGCTTGAGGATGTTGAGCAGCGAGCCGCCGAACCAGCCGCACAGCGTAAAGAGGCCGTACAAGATGACATTGGTCAACGAAGCAACCTGCGCAGAGCTCGGCTTGCCTCCGCCGGCTCCCAGGCCTATGACGGCGACGTAGATGCCGGGGGCACAGAAGAGGACCCTTGAGCAGTCAGCGTTTGGTATCTGGCATAACTATATACTTGTATGTTTATTTTATGGTGTAAAGGAGCGGGTCAGGGGTAGTTAAGGCGACTAGGAACTTACCATCCCATGATGAAGTTCTGGGTGTCAGGCCGGTTGAGCCGTAGAAGACTCTCCATCCTTGTTGTAAAGACCATCTTGATGAAGATGGAGTTATACCGATAGATGTACAAGGTGTATACAGCGTGGAGGAGTGCCTGATATATATAGCAGCCATGGAGATATGGGTCCCCCCCGCGTACCCCAGAATCTTGCAGCAGCTAACGAAGATAACAGCGCAAGGATTGGCCAGAATGCCTCTCCACTGGGCCCATACGTACACGACAGACTTGGACGACGTGGGAGATGCGAAAAGAACCTGATGTTTGCCGAAACAAACGCTTTACCGAGAGATACGAGGCAGGTCGAGCATCTCCGAGATTTTGAGTGCTGACAGCAGCTTGCCAGGAGCTTGGCTGATGCTTGACTGCTGCTTGCTATCTCATTGGCATGCTATTATTACACTTGTTCATTCCATGCTGGCGGTGCTGGCGTCAAACTAGGAGCCTGTGGCTGGCCGGGATGGTTCCGAGATAACCATGGCCTTCGGCTTTGGAGTGCGGGAGATTGATAGGGGGTATATCTAGCAGACCAACCCCAGACAACAGCAGCCGTTCTCCTTTTGATAACTAGATGAACCGTGAGACTATTTTTGTATTACACTAACTAACTACCTAGGAGAGTCGTAAGAGGGTGGAACAATATGTACAGAGAAAAGGAGCAGAAGGAAAGCTTCAGCACTGCTGGAATCGAGGTCATGATCAAATGAGCAAGAGAATAAAAAAGAGTAAGGGAATAAAAGGGAAAGGGAAAGAGAAAGGAAAGAGAGAAAGAAACAAAGCCATTATAGGAGGTATTCGCCGTCGCCAACTCGCTCGCAGAGATCCTTGAGCATCCTGCCACCCCATTCGAAGTCGTCCAGCTCAAGGTAGATCTGGGCGCTTCCGCGAGCCCACCAGGAGCCCTGGAAGAAGAAGACAGGCATGAGTGTCTCGTACTCGGTGGCCATCTTGCGCATGATCCAGTCGCTGACACGGAACTGCACGCCTGGCTTGCTCCTGACAGCATACCAGCCCTCCGGGAGCGGGGTTTCATCACCATTGCCAGCATCCAGCTTCAGGGGCAAGAGAACGTTTGTCATACAGCAGGCCGACACGCTCTGGGACTTGTTATCCAGCACTTTTGTGCCCAGTATGCTGGCCATGAGTGCACCGGCTGCCCGGGCCAGGTTGACGCAATATGTCTGGATGGCCTTTTCACCGCCGCATACTTCCTGGCGCCAGCGGATCGACTCGGGAATGCAGAGGTAGCCGAAGTTGTCCATGGGAGCGACGAATTCAAAGTTGTACACAAAGGGGGTCTTTCCGCTGGCCAGAGCCTGAGCCAGCTTGCCGTCGACCTTGCCCTGCTCGATATCTGCAGTGGGGATGAAGCCGTGGCTCAGGGGCAGAGTGCTGCGAACCATCCACTGGTTGCGAGCAGCAACATATAGTGCAGCACAACCACGAGGTATGAACAGCCATTTGTGACAGCAGGTAACGAAGAAGTCAGGGTCAAGAGCAGCCAGGTCGATCTTCATGTGTCCAGCAGCATGAGCACCGTCGACAAAGCTCATCACACCCTCTTCGCGACAGAGAGCAACCAGCCGCTCAAACGGGAGTCTGATGGCGGGTGTGGACGAGATGGTATCAAAGATACCCAGACGGGGGCGACGGCCGGCTTCCCGGGAAGCCTGGATGCCCTGTCTGAAGAGCTCTACGACCTCGTCGTCCTCGAGCGGATAGTTGAGCTGGACCTGGCGAGTTCTGACCAAACCCTGGCTCAACTCGCCGACGTAGCCAGTCATCTTGCCTAATGGCGCAAAGATGATGCTGACCTGAATGATCTCGTCAAGTCCGTCTTCGTTCCAGACGAAGTTACGCATGATGGTGTTAGAGGCCGTGGAGCCGTTGGCAACCAGCACGATGTTGTCTGGGTCAGCGTTGAGCAGGTCGGCCACGGCCTCGCGCGACTTGTCCAACCATGCAGGGAACTCGTATCTGGAGAACGAGCAGGGCCGGCCCTCACAGCGTCTACGCAGCTCATGAGCCTTGTTGAAGATGGCTGTGGGCACGGTACCAAAGGAGCCTATCCTGTTGTCAGTCTATACATCCAATACGTTTATGATTGATTGGTTACTGGAGAGTACCATTGTTGAGCTCGGTGTATGTTGGGTCGATAGAGAAGTGCTTGAGCATTTCCCGTCCAAAGGGAGTTCGCTCATAGCGAGGACGTGGTGGTTCGATGCTACCCATGACAGTGATACAATAGTCAATGTGTTGTTGCAATTGGAAATGTTATTGCTGATGATGATGTTGATGATGATAATGTTGGACGTTGGATACAATGGGAGATACAGCTTGGTAGACAGACAGACAGATCGACGATGGGCTTCATCTCCAACCGTCCTGACAGCCCGTTTATATACCCGTTTCTCCAACTAGTTAGCTGCTCCATCCACCGCGTTTCCCCAGACTCGGCGGGCCGTAGAATGAACTGGTCTGGCTATGACAAATAGCGGTGGGCTAGGTCGAACATCCTGATTCCTCATTCCTCATCCTCATCACACGGCCTCTGCACCCCACGGGGCAGAGGACAGAAAGGGGAAACCTTTTGCAAGCAGGCTGGGGAAGAAAAATTCAAACATCCCGCGATTCTGGTACGTAATTGTGAGCTGGTCGACCGAGAAGGGGGAGGGAGGGCGAGCTACAGCCTTTGCCCGGCGTTCTAATCCCCTTGTCAAGCAAGCCCATTAGTATATTGACGGAGGAGAGCGTCAACCTGTTCACTTGTCTCATTTGTCCAGTGAGAGGGCGGGAGGATGTAACTGGAACTGCTCCGCAACGTGAAGAGGGAGATCCCCTGTCCGCTGGTAGAAATTAAGAGTTGTGATGGGTTAATATCAAAATGCTGATATAACCAAACGATAGCAGAGAGCATCCCTGCCTATAACTCCAGCTTCACGTGAAATGCAAGTAAGGTCCCTGCCCACGAGAGCTTTTGAAAATGCTTGATCGGATGCATCGACGAGGAGGTTGCCAGCTCGCCAGCAAGGAGGAGCTCAGGCTGCAACAAAGGCAAGCAAGGCCGTGTTTTCGTGGCAGGGTAG